GTGGGGAGGCGAACCCTCTGGGCAGACAGCCTCTGACCTCATGTCTGAGATTCACAGGAAGGACCCAGGCCCCAATGCAAGGATGAGTATAAATTCTTTACTCCTTGCCCATCTTAAATGAAGAAAATAAACCAGGGAGGCTCCAGAGCCGAGCACAGGTTTCTAAGAAAGGCTAAGCAGAAATGATTCTGGCATCCTGCCTGACTCGTTTCCTGGGGTGAAGATGAGTTCTTCGCTGTTTCTCATGTGGAGGAATTGTACACACTGGCTGTCTCAGGAACTCTTATTTTAGCACATGCCCCCTCCCATCCCCGGCAAAGGACACTCAGTGCCACTGTCCGTAGGAAGCACAGGAACTCACTCCTGTTTAGGGCAGTAGGTAAACACAGCTGCTGTCCCAAGTATGACAGGAAGGTCATTTGCATCTTCCATTTGGGTGGGACACTTCCAGTTTTTGACTATCTCTTCTTAGAGAGATTGTCCCGGGGTGGACACCGTGGTTTCTGCTCCGGCAGCCAAGTAGGAAGGGGGGTCTCTCCCACCCTTCCTTCCTCCCCTCCTCTCCCTTCCCTTTCCCTTTCTCTGACATCCTTGACACCGGCTCGCTAAGTCCCGTCAGCTGACTCAGATGGCTGAGAAAGTGGAAGAGACGCTTCAAATTGGGACACTTTGGGTCTCACTCACATCGGAGATACCAGAAAAAGAGCAGCCTCAGCTTTGAGCTGCATCATTTTCAAAGCAACAAAGAGCATACGGGGCCTGCAGTAATTTCCAGAATCAGGGAGAAAATAGGCATCATTAAAAATCAATGGAACCTATATTAATTTATAAGTGAATGGAGACTATTATTCCAGGTCAAGTCTATTGCAAGACTCCTGGCCCAGAAATCCCCATAAACCCAGCCCTGAGCTCCCCCTCACCCCTTATCTCTACATGTGTACCTGTTGGATTCTATTCCACCTCCAAGAAAAGAGTTAGAGTAGGGAAGGGGTTGAATTAATAATACAGAAATTGCTGTGATGGCAGCCCCCCAAAATATTATTCTCCCTTCTCTCAGTCAGCTGTTTTCTTTGTGTACCTTTTTCTTCATTTTCTCTCCCTCTCTTCATTTCCTTTTATCTCTCCTTTCTCACTTATTCCCTCTTGTCTCCTACCTCTCTGGTCCCCTCCCAGGTGCTCTCGCCCTGTTGGTTTTTCTGGGCATCATCACATTTATGGAAGGCCTTTGATGTACCAGGCACTATTCCAGACTCGGGTAAACGGCAAGAAAACACAGTCATTGCCCTCAGGAAATGTACATTCCAGCTAAGAACACAGCCTAAGCGTATGAATGAAGCGTAAGTAAACAAATCATTAAGTAAAATAATTCCAAATTGTGGAAAGATTTATCATGGAAACAAAAAGCACTAGATAAATATAAGGATGAGAGGGAAGCAGGAGTTTGGTGAAACCTATTGATTCCTTCTCAGAGCAGTCTTTTAAATATATAAAATAAATGGAATTATAAATAAGACCATTGTATTGGAATACAGTTTAATCCACACATCTCTTAGGAGTCCACTGACCCCAGGTTAGATTGTAAGACAACAAGAGTTGGGGTATTTTTTTAATGTAGAATAGGAGGTAATGATAAAGTTTTAATCAGGAGAGTAATAAAGTATTATTTATATTTTTAAGAGGTCACTGTTGTTACTATGTGGAAATGGATTTCCTGTCACTAACAGTGGAAGCAGAGGAGTGTTTAGGAGGCAACTGCTTTGTTGTAGGAAGAGATGGTCCCTCCTCGCTTGGACTCAGGTAGCGATCATAGAGAAGGCTAGTCCTAAAAGAGCATCACTTAGAGTCTGCCCATAAAAGACGATGCCTCCCCTAAAAAAGCAAAGGGAGAGACTGGAAAGAAAGAAGTGAATGCGTTTCTTTCTCTTCCTGCTCTTCCAAAGCCCCTCAGTCCTCAGTTTCCCTCGGTGATACAAGTTTAGGGAACTCCTTCCGAAGCCGGTGGCTGGCAGCCCGTAGACTATGCAAAAGGATGTCTGTGTACTTACTTGAGGCAAATATGTTTCCAGTGAACCTTAAAAGAAGTTGCTCTCCTTCTTTCACCTGGAAATGGCGAGACGGCTCTGGAGGACCACAGAAGGCTTCCAAGTGCAAAGTCCTAAGCTCCTGGTTTAAATCTTTAGACGGCACCACTGAAACGACCACTCTCTGTGGATTGTCTTTGCGGTGATACAGAACCACGCAGGCACTGGTGCTGAGCAGGGCTTCCTCTAAAGATTTCACAAAAGAAACCAAGTGGCTGTTGTCCACAGTGGAAGACAGGTGGAGCACGATAAACCTGCACGGGAGAGAAGAGGCATGATCTAAGGGAGACAGGCAGTCTCAGAAATATCACTGATCAGGAATAGCACCCAGGAAAGGAGCCATTATTACCCAAACTTCCTTTAAAATCAAGCATTCTGACGACCAACCTGTTAGATTCATGAATGACTTTCATGAAACTCGGGGCAGTCTGGAAACCAGCTCGAATCAAACCAAATTCTAAAAAAGATGTGCTTAAATGAAGACATTCTGTCATCTCAGCTCAGCTCTGATATGGCAGCATATTTTAAATTATATTTTAATTAGCATCACTAAGGAATATTACTTCATAAATATAGAAAACAGCAATGATCAAAATAATCCATTTACTAGCAATAAGACACAGAATACGTATATCATAATTAACTGGAGATTGAAATATCCTTCTCCGTCATGTGCAGTAAGGATTGTTATCATGGATCCTGTCATGGGTTGAATTGTGTCCCCTCCACCCAAACCTATATGTTGAAGTCCTAAGCCCCAGAACCCTAGACTGTGGCCTTATTTGGAGAGAGTCCTTACAAAGTGAAGTCACTTTCAGGTCATTAGGGTGGGCCCGAATCCAATATGACTGGTGTCATAAAAAGAGACATGAATACAGAGAGAACACCAGCAATTTACAGCCGAAGAGAAAGCCTTGGAGCAGTCCTTCCTCACAGGCCTCAGAAGAAACGAACCTTGATAACACCTCGATTTGGGACTTCTAGTGTCCAGAACTGAGACAATAAATGTCTGTTGTTTAAGTTTCCCAGTTTTTGCTATTTTATTCTGGCAGCTTAGCAAATGAATATAGACCCCTCCCCTTGGTTGGACCACCCATCACCCAACTCTTCTCCAGATAAATGCCCTCCAGGAGCCCTCAATCTAAAGCAGCCCCACACCCACAGGCAAGGACTGACTGACGCAGGGGCGTAAAGCCAGACACCTGGTATTTACACTGCAGGGCCCCACTGCTTCTTTCATTCCCTTTCATGGTTCAGCTGAGGGCCTTCTTTCAATAAATCACTGGCATGTACATTTTAAGACTCATTTTCTGGGGAACCTGACCCAAGACAATTGTAGATGCAAGATGTTCCACTATGAAACAAAGGCTATCTTCGGACATCTGATTGCCCTCTCTTTATGAATGTCTACTTCTCATCAACTTTAAAACTGTCTAAAACTCTTCTCATAATGAGCTGTCTAGAAAACATGGAAATGAGAGAGCAAAATGAGGACACTGAAATAACAAGTTCAGTTTATATATACATAGTTATGAGATAAGCATAATATGAACAGTTAATTACTATCGTCATGGAATTTCAGAAATGAAGGTGCTATTTTAAAACTATTTTGGAGTTAGAAGAAACCAGTAAAAATAAATCTAAGTTATGAGCGGTTTCCAAAAGCAGCTATTAAGCTATCATAAATGAAATTACAGATAGCATATTCATGTCAGTTCTGGTTTGCATTTTAAGCATACCCCAAGGCACTATTCATATTCCTATCTGAAGAATAAACATTAAATCTATGATCCCATTTTTGTAAAACCAGTAATAAATCATCAGGATAGAATATCATCAGCTTTTATCATTTACTATTGTATTACCTCTCTATGTGTTCACACATTTCAAATGAAATCAAGCCGCTCTGCGTGGTTCTCACCACAACATCATCAAGCCCGAACCAGGCACTGTCTCGGCTTCTGAATCCCAGTAATTTCAAAGATTCACAGGCATTATTCCCAGGTTTTCTTATGGAAGCACTTTTTGTCCTATGTAATGATAGCAGAAGAGGAATTGGTAACATTTGTATGGCATAAATCATATTTCATGCATTTATGTTTTTCATTAAGTGAATATTTGTTTTTTAACCTCACTTGAGGATATTTTTTCCATTGCTTTTCAGAGAGAGTGGGTGGGGGGGGAGAAACATCAATGTGAGAGAGACACATCGATTGGTTGCCTCCCACTCACCCTGCAACTGGAGAGAGTCTGCAACTGAGGTATGTGCCCTTGGCCAGAATTGAACCCGGGACCCTTCAGTCCACGGGCCAACACTCTAACTACTGAGCCAAACCGGCCATGGCTTAAGTGAATAATTTAATAACAATTTCATTAAGTTTATACTATGTCCCACTAATTAGGCTATGCACCAGGAATATAAAGATAAGAAACATATCACCCTTGCTCTTAGGAATCTCACAGTATTGCAATATTATTCAATTACAGGACACGGTAATGCATGTGGTAATTAAGGGAACAGACATCAGGGTTTAGCAGCAGAAGGAAGGTGCTCAAGGAAGCTCACAAAGTGAAAATACTGATATCTGACACGAGCTTTGGAGAAGGGGAAGCATTTTACTACTGGCACCTCAAAACAGTAATGAACTCTCTGATGTAAACTTGGATGCTTTCGTATAGCATAAAAGGTAAGACCACAGGCTCCGAACAAGACTGCCTACTTCCAAATCCTGGGTGGCTCTCCCTCTTATTAAATGCGTGACCATCAGTGAGTTTGTTTAATCTCTCTGTATCTCAGTTTTCTTAGCTATAATATTATAGGATTAAATGAGTTAATATTTAAAGCACTTATAATTGTAGTAACCATAAGTGCATCCTAATATTTGTATCCTAATTCCTGAAACAGTCATAGCCAATTAACTTCCTTATATCTCCTTCTTGCTTAACTGGCTCCACCCAAAAGCCCTGAAAGAAGCAGCTGTATGTATACCAGGTGATACTTGCCCCCCAACCACAGCTGATTTGACCAGCAGTAGACCAGTTTCCAAGGCCCCATGAATTGGATTCTTTTTCTTTGGAATTTGACCAAGTAGGAGGCCCACAGATTTTAACTTGCCATTGTCCTTTGGTTGTTGTGCTCTTGCCTATGAAGGTGAATGAGCAAAGAGGTCATTAAGAAAGAAAAAAAAATTGGGCAGATGCTAAGAAAGAAAAGGAGAGCAATGAAGATGGAAAAATCTGCTTAGTCCTAGAGATGGAGAAAGCAGAGACTGCCTGCTGTAGCCTTACACTTTTCTTGACCTCACTTAAATGGTATCATTCCTCATAACTAAGGAAGAAAAACCCTTGATACTGAACATCTTGCAGGAGAAAAAAACCTCACCCAAAACCAAAAAGCTAATGATGCTGCAACCCACAAGGGAACAGAACCATTCAAGCTAGGTGCTAAAGATGAAAACCCAAGTGTGAATCACACATCCTTACTTTTCAATAGATAATTATGGGTTTAAAACCAGCTTAGGGCCACAGGTTTAATTGCCTATGATCTATAAATTAGCAACTGAACTAGATTTAAAATGTCTACTCTAAAAACTTTAGACTGTGTTGATTCCTTCAGGGGATTAACCAGATTAAGATCAGGAAAATGGAGGGGAGGGGAAGAGGGAATGACATTTAGTTTTTTAGTTTTTGGTTTATAACTCTTGAAGTTAATGATTTATTAACACAGGAAGATACACTCATACTGAATCCGAAACTTTGGTCATTGACTAGAAACTGACTTACTTTAATATAACATTGGTGGTAGTTTTTTTTCTGATGACAATTCTTACTTTTTTCTACCAAAAGATTAAATATCCTGTGGTGACTTAGAGGGTCTCAGTTGCAGTGGGGTTGACTATACTCCCAGGTCTAGGTGGACGTGTAACCTGAGCCAAATAGTGCCTTTGGCATTTATTAATGCTGTTTGCAAAAAAAACACAAAAACAAAAAATGACAACAATTTCTCTCCATTTTGAGTACATGGTAGGGCTGCATTTTCTTGTCCCCAACACCTGAGTGGGGCTTATGACTATTTGTGGTTAATGAATAGTAAATAAAGGAAATATATGTCACTGCGAGGCAAAGCATTTAATTGCTCATGTGGGTCTGTCCAAACTCTTTCTTCTGCAACCACAACAGCAGCAGACAGTGGTTGCCCTTTAGGGTAAGGCGGGGAGTGAGGACAACCAAGAAGCAGCCTGCCTTTGAGGGCCATATAGCAAGCGGGAGACATCAAGACCGTCGTTATAAGCCCTTGAGATACCAGGTTTTTGTTACCATGCCATAACCTAGGCTAACCTGCCCCGTATACTGCATCTTCCTTGTGGTCCCTGTGGCCTGTTCAGTGATGGGGTTGAGACAGATTTACAGTTAGAGTGACATTCACTTATGTTTAATGCTGGGGAAAAGAGCTTCCTCTCTTCCACTGATCATGAAATTATGAAGAGGTAGCCATACTGGAGCATGACAGCCAATGGAACTGGCACAGCGGAGAACAGAAACAGGAGTGAGAGGCTGGGTTCATTTTTGGTTCAAGAAATATATAAAGATAAATATATCTCCAGATTTTTAAATTATATACACCAAAGAATTCCATTTTTAAAAATCTCTGGGTTTGTTTTTCTGTCACTTAAAATCAAGAGTCCTTGATATAAAGATCAAACTTAGACTTCACTTTTTCCAACTTTCTCGAGATATAATTGACATCATATTTTGTAAGTTTAAGGTATGCAATGTGATGATTCGATGCACGTATTCATTGTGAAATGATTACAACAATAAAGTTCGTGAACACATCCATCACCTCAAATTTAGACTTTACTAGTATAGATACAATTCATATTGAAATTAAGTGATTTCTTATCCCAGCTGTTCTTAACTCTGCAAATAAATGCTTCCTTTTATATATAGCTGAGGCAAAAGTAGGTTTACAGTTGTAAGCATATAAAACACAGAGTTTATTCTTGTATTATTATTTATTAATTACTGTATTATTTTCCATACGAACAGCTGTAAACCTACTTTCGCCCCACCCTGTATGCTGTTTGCAACCGTTGATAACTAGTATTGCCTAGCAGTGAATAGCACTTGAGGCTACTCCACAAAAGATAACGTTCTGATATACTAAGGATTCTATAAAACATACTCAACCTTTATTAAATCAATTTGGTTTTTCAAGAATAACTGACCTTGCTGTTTCTTGAGTTCAAGGCTCTTCCCATGTCCTAAATTCCAGGCATTCAGGGAATTATAATTGTCCCATTTTGGGTCAAGTGCTCAATTGTAATGAACAGGGTCATTGAAGAATATGAAAGACCCCATTAAATCCACATAGATAGAAAGGACAGTTTCTAGAATTTGTGGTATAATTCCCCCCAAATAAAGTGGTCAGGTGGATAAAGCAACAGGTGTCCACTACAGGCCGCCTTTGTGTCCAAGATAAATGCCTTAATGCCATACAGTTAAAGGACACCCAGGAGATTTTTCCCAAAATAAAAAAGATCTGCTCCAAAGTACCTCAATACTTTGTTTCCACAAGTAGAAGTAGACATTACTGGGAACTTTTCCAAGGCAATGTTTTAATTTTTTACACTTTATTTTTTTTAGAACAGTCTTAAGTTCACAGCAAAATTGAGAGGAAGATACAGATTTTGTATATGTCTCGGGCCCCCACATGCATAGCCTTCTCCATTATCAACATCCCCCCTCAGAGCGGTATGTTTGTATCACCCGGTTCACCTGCATTGACACATCATAATCACCCGAAGTGCATAGTTCGCATTAGGGTTCACTCTCGGTGCTGTACATCCTGTGGTTCGGATAAATGTATAATGACATGTATCTATCATTATAGTATCATAAAGAGTATTTTCCCCACCCTAGAAATCCTCTATGCTCTGCCTATTCATCCCTCCCCGACCCCAACCCCTGACAATTACTGATCTTTTTACTGTCTCCATAGTTTTGCCTTTTCCAAAATGTCATATAGCATGTACCCTATCGTATGAAGCATTTTCAGATTGGGTTCTTTCATTTAGCAATATGCATGTAAGATTCCCCCATGTCTTTCTGTGTCCTGATAGCTCATTATTTTTGGCACTGAATAATATTTTATTGTACAGATATTATTTATCCATTCACCTACTGACTGGCACCTTAGTTGCTTCCACGTTTTGACAATTATGAATAAAGCTGCTATAAGATCTGTGTTCAGGTTTTTGTGTGGACAGAGTTTTCGACTCATTTGGGTAAATACCAAGGAGCACAGTTGCTGGATTTTGTTGGTAAGGGTATGTTTAGTTTTGTAAGAAACCAACAAACTCCCTTCTGAAGTGACTGCACCATTTTGCATTCTCACAAGCAACAGGTGAGAATTCCTGCTGTTCCACATCCTCACCAGCACTTGAGGTTGTCTGTGTTCTGGATCTTGGCCATTTTAATAGGTATGTAGTGGTTCCTCATTGTTGCTTTAATTTATTTCTCGCCGATGGCATATGATGTAGAGTCTTTCCATATGCTTATTTGACAGCTGTTATCTTCTTTGTTGATGTGTCCATTAAGGTCTTTGGCCCAATTTTTAAAAGTTTTCCTTTGTTTTCTTATCGATGAGTTTTAAGAGTTCTCTGTATATTTTGGATAACAGTCCTTTATCAGATGTGCCTTTTTGCAAATACTTTCCCCCAATCTGTGGCTCATCTGCTCATTCTGTTGACATTGTCTTTTCTAGAGCAGAAGTTTTTAATTTCATAAAACCCAGCATATGAATTATTTCTTTCATGGGTTGTGCTGTTGGTATTGTATCTAAAAAGTCATAACCATACTGAAAGTCATCTAGATTTTTACCTATGTTATTATATTCTAGAAGTTTTATAGTTTTACATTTTACATTTATGTTTATAATCCATTTTGAGTTAATTTTTGTGAAGATATAAGATCTGTGCCTAGATTTATTTATTTTTGCATGTGGATGTCCACTTGTTCCAGCACCATT